AGGGGGGGGGGGACGGAGCTCAGGTGATAACTGGCCAGAGGAAGGAGGAGGGCACAGGCTACTTCTGAGGTGACCCTGAGCAGGAAACCGAACTTTCCTCCTGCAGAAATGTGACGGCAACGATGATTCCAAAAGCCGTCAGCAAGAGGGCCAGGGATCAGGCTTTGACTCCAGAGGAGTTTGAGGGCTGGGGCTGGTGGCAGTGGCTGCAGCGGGCAGGGTGGGCCAGGGTCTCAGGCTGAGCTGCACAGGGTGAAGCTGACACCTTGTGACCTCACGTACTCCAGGGCGGGGACCTCAGCTCTGCAAATCAAACACCTGAGTCATCAGCTCCCCAGGAGTGTCTGTCATTCCTGTGACTTTGTAATCAGAAATGACATCGCCGCCCAGAGCACCACTGTCCCAGTCAGGCCACTGGGAGCCCCAGCCCCTGATGAGGGTGCCTGGGGGAGCAAGATGTGAGCAACAGGAGAACAGGGCAGAAAATGAGGGAAAGAGCAGAAGAGCCTCAGGAAAATCCAAGAAGAAAATAAAAGGAGCCTGCCCAACACCGGAAGGGTTTTATTTTATATAATTCCTTCTGCTCCCCTTCCCCGGCCCACGTATTTAAGTAACTGAGATCAGTCTGTAGCTACAGTTTCAGTTCCTGGATTTTTATTTTTTAAATGTCCCATGTCTTCAAAATTACTTAAAATCATACCTTTCATTTTTTTGAGGTATACTGGGCAGTTCCTCTTTCTGAATATTCTTTTAGTATTTTACATTACACAAATAACATCTTTGTACATATATACTTTTCTTACCTCTCTGGTAGTTTCTTTGGGGTAGATTCTTTGCACTGGCTATTGGGCCCGGCTCCACTAGTCTTTAGTGCACTGTTTTTGTAGGTGTATAGTTTTATGAGAATTCATCACATGTGTAAGATATGACTAACTCTCAACACAAGCTTTCTTGTTACCTGTTAATAGTCACATTCTTTTCCTAACCTTGTTACCTGGCAGCCACTGTTCCCTGTCACTACAATAGTTTCACTTTGGGAATGGTGTAGAATTAGAATCATTCAGTATGTAACCATTCAAGATTGGCTTTTTTTTTTTTTTTAAATGCAGCACAATGCCCTGGAGATTCATCCAAGTTGCTGTGTATAGCAACAGCTCCTTCCTTTTTAATTTCTGAGTAGTATTCTGCCACGTGTGTGGTCACTATCTGTTTTCTACTTGTTGAAGGTTTTTTGGCTTGTTTTCAGTTTTTACCCCAGCTTTATTGAGATATAACTGCAAAATAGCCTTTTAAAGAACACAGTGTAAGTTTAAGGTGTACAATAAAACAATTGGTTGTTCTTTAAAAGGCTATTTTCATTAGTAATTGTGATTTTTTAAGCTTACTAAAAATCGACCTTACGTTCCTTTTTTAATGAGTTGAGTAGGAAATGTATGCAAATGTCTGGTAGGGACCATCTCATTTACATACCTCGTCTTCCTCTGTTCTGCTCTCCCCATTTGGCCGGTGAGGAGCCTGAGACTCAGAAGTCGAATAAGTTGCCTGAGACTCAGAAGTCGAATAAGTTGCCTAAGGCAGAGCCTTTCAAGATACAAGTCTTAATGCATCCAGTGGGGAGAACTTTCTTACTCCACCCCAGGGCTATCACTATCTAAAACATGAGCCTGGCTCTAGCACCAAGGGGAAAAAAACAACCAAACAAAAACCCCACTGGGAAATCCTTACTCTCTAGGTCTCTGGATTCTCCAGTGTTCTTTCTCTAGAACCTTCTCACAACGTCCTCTCTCAGCATGATACGCTTTCCACAGTGACCCTGTGGGGTTCAGAACGAGTCACTCCAGGATGTGCTTCTGTGGTATGTGGGTTGTTTTGAGCTAAAGGCAATTTTTTGTTATCAAGTAGTATCCACTGCACGTGGCCTCAAGAGAAACTTCCGCCCCTCCCTTAACTACCTAGAAGAACTTGAACGAGGGGCCTTGTCCATAATACCCTGAGATAACCTATTTTGAGCTGTCTATACAGAGGACAAATTTCTATTTACTAAACATCTACTCCTCTTACCATTCTGCAGTGACCCTTTGAAGCCCCCCAGCCACCTTAGCTCATCCCTAGCTCAGGATGCCTCATGTCCCCACATTCCCTTTCTGTGTCTGAACCTCTCCTGCATGTGGCGTCTCTGATTCATGTATGCGGGGTTCTCATACACATGTATGTATTCAATTTGCTTACTTTCTCTTGCTAATCTGTCTCATGCCTATTTGATCATTAGACCGGCCTGAAGAACTTCAAAGGTAGAGGAAAGTTTCTTCCTCCCCCAAGCCCTTGTCCCAGAGGATGTTCTAGACTCTAGAATCTAGAGGAGCCCCTGCAGACCAGTGACCTCACCTGTGAGGTCACTGCGAACCCCAGGACCATTTCTGGGAAGGTTCCAGCTGGGACTAATCTCATCTGTGTGCACCAGCCCTCACCAGCCTTAATTACCCATAGAAGCACAGGAAAAACCTGTCTACTCAAGAGGTAGGAGAAGTGACAGGTATGTCATCTGCTCTGGGATAATCTGCCCCATTTTCCCCTAAATTTGCTGCATTTGTGCACCAGCCCTAACCCCAACACGTTACATAAGGGTCCCAAATGACATTTGAGCTTCATTTCTTTTCCGCCATTCCAGAGCGTCACAGGGCAACTGGCAGAGAGAAACTGAGTGTCACAAGGGGGTGGAGCAGCAGAGAGAGGTGCCCCTCCCTCCCTGCCTGTCTCCACAAAAGTGTTTCTGTCACCCCAGATTTTGACTTGTGCACTACATCTATGAGCTCTTTTGATTTTATTTGCCCCAGAAATCTCAGATCAATTACCGAGAAATGAGACTCGCTGATATGAGCAATGTGCCAGCTGGGAAGTGGAGTTGGGTGTGGGCTTGGAGACTAAGTGGGAAGAGAAAAGAAAGAAGGCTCAGTCCCTGACAGAGGAACCTGACACACCTTCCAGGAAAACTCTTCCTTGCCGTGGAATGCCAACTCAATCGAGAAGGGATGGTGGAGCTAGCAAACCAACAGGGATGCCAAACTAGGAGGCGAAAATGTGAGGAGCAGTAGGGTATCTGCTTCATCTCAAAGCACCCCCATAGGACACTTACTGATTACAAAGGAAAAACAGTAACTTACAGAGGAGAAACCCAGCAGACACCACATAACAAATGAAGGCAGCAACGACCCCAGTAATGGCACAGACCAGTGCCGCCTGCCCCCTGACATGGGGCATTGAGGACAAACGTCACTCCGGCAGCACTTCTGCCAGAAGTGTAGAACCTGAATCTGATCACGAGGCAATGCTGCACAAACCCAAATAACTGGCCTGCAACCTTCAGAAATGTCAGGGTCAAATAAGACAAAGGAAAACTGAGATTAAAGGTTCCAGATTAAAGGGACAGTATGAGTAAACGCAATGAGTGATCGGACATCCCCAACCCCCAAGGAAAGCACTGAAGGACATTATCAGCACAAACTGACCAAATTTGAACATGGATTGTCAATTAGATCATAGAATTGTATCGATGTTAAATTTCCTGATTTTTATAATTGTATTAGGTTATTTAAAAGAATGGCCTTGTTCTTAGGAAGAACACGCTGAAATACTTAGGGGTAAAAGGGCATGATGGCTCCAGTTTTCTCTTAAAAATATGTACTTATATAGAGAGGATGATAAAGGAGGCAAAAGGTAAACAATTGGATAAACTGTAGGTGGGAATTTCTTGTACTATTCTTGCAACTTGTGTACATTTGAAATCCTATCAAAATAAAAGTTACAAAGGGAAAAACAAGTGATGAATGTATATGCTCATTGGTAAGGTGAGGTATGAGCTGTTGAACTATGTCACGCCCAGGGCTAAATAATCTCTTTGGGCTCTTGAACAGTTATATTGAATTTTTAGATGAGTATGGGGAAGATGGGTATATTTATGATAGTAAGTTTTGTGATCTATGACCTGCTTTTAAATAAATCATTTTCTCTCCTTAAAAAAATAAACTGCATCCTCGGCAGGTATGATCTTGGGCAAATGAATTCACTTCCTTTTGCCCCAGTTCTCTATCATTTAATTTGAAGTGCAAACTGCCCACTCCCTCACAGGCTGCTGCTGACTCAGAAACTGAGGGGACCTCTGGGTCTAGGCCAACACAGCGCGTCCCATTTGGGCGGCTCTTTTGCTCCTTACCTAAGCGGCAGGGGCTCTGGTGGAGGGTGGAAACCCAGGTCCTGAGGCTGCAAAGCCCTGGCCATAAACACAGAGAGGACTGGGCTGTGTGCCCTGCTGCCCAGCCTACCTTCAGCGCTCAGGAACTGGAGAGAGGGGGAAGGGAAGAGAAGATGGGAAGGCATGAGATGATGGGAGAGAGAGGAGAGTTTGGGAGAAAGAGACACAGAACAGGTGAGAGGGTGGCGGGGAGAAAAGGAGAGCAGGACTGGGACCTGGGAGCCCCGAGGATGCGCCTTCAGCTCAATGATGAGACATGGGCCAAGTGGACTGGCCACCAGGCCTCCCCTTCACGGTGCCCTACCCTGTTCTTGTCGAAGGCTCGAAACGTGCCCTCTACGTACTGGGTGGCCTCATTGCCTGTGACCTTGAAGAAGCGCTAAACTCGTGCATGAAGGGCGTGCCGCTGGGGCACTCCTTGTTCCACTCCTGGAGCTCCACCACATCCACCTCGGGCTGCCTCCCCCTCCTCCCTGCTGAACTGCTCCCCATCCTGGCCCCCAGGCCCTGCAGGGAGCAAGGCTCTGTCTCCTCTGGGCTTCTGCTGATTGACTCCTTGGGTTAGGGTCCTCTTGCTCCCTTTCCTTTGCTCAACCAGCCTCTTCACCATCTCCTGGGCAACTGAACATGATGGGCAGTGGAGGGGGCAGGGGGCAGGCAATAAGATAGGAGGGACCAGGCCAGCTAAGCCCCCTAAGATTAGAAGATTCCCCTGGAAGGTCTGATCTCCATCCTGCTAAGCTCCTCCAGCTTCACCTCTCCCCTTCATCAGGTCAACCACTCAACTAAGCCACCCAGAAGATCCTGAAGAGGGAGAAGGGGGGAAACTGAGGGGACGGTAAAGAAAAGTTGGAAAGACAGGTTGAGACCCTTCCATGTGCTACACACTCCCTGTCCCTTTAGTTGGACACCATGCTGCTCCAGAGAGGACCATCTTGGAGATACAGGAGACTCTGAAGTCCATAGGGGAAGCAAGGCCAACTCCTAGCCCATAAAATAAAATCTGCTGGGGACCTGGGGCTCAGCTCCTCCTGGTAGTCCAGTGAGAAGCAGCAGAACCTGTGCTGTGAAGGGCTCTAGGTCAGCAGCTCTAGTGTCTGTCACTAATCTGCTCACTGCAGCAGGTCTTAACCGATCTTCCTGCCCCCCTTGCCAACCTCCTCCTTACAGTCCATACCCAGCAGCCAGAGTAGTGTGTTCTAAATAGTGAAGACTGCCCTTCCCCAGTCTTCACGTGGCTGCCTCAAAGACTGATGCGCTCCCCTCAAGTAATTCTGACATTACCCCCATCACTTGCTTGCTCCAAACCCTCCTGCAGCTTCCCATTTACCCACACTCCTCCCCACAGCCCTGATGCATTACGTGGCCTGGCCCCCGCCTGCTCTGGCTTCATGTTGCTCTGTCCTTGTGCGCAGACCCCCAGCTCACTGGGTCTTAGTGCTGACTGGTCCTGCTGCGTGGACTGCCCTCCCCCAGTCTTCACGTGGCTGCCTCAAGGACTGGCGCGCTCCCCTCAAGTAATTCTGATATTATCCCCTTTATTTTCTTCATAGTGTTTAACTGCAGCTGAAACTATCTTATTTTTCCCCTTATTTATTATGTCTTCCCACAGAGTCTAAGACCCTGTGGAGAGGGACTTCACCATGTACACTGTGAATTCCCAGGGCTCAGGACGGTGCTTGGCACATACAAGGAACTCAAACACTTGCTGCGAAACTGAGCAAAGTGCATGACACACAGTCAGTGCTGAATTAATGGGGGCTATTACTCCTTAATTTTGCAAGACAGCTCTGCGACTCATTTGAGAGTGCCTGGGTTAGCAGATATTTATTGATGTGAAAGATAAGGGGCCTTTAGAACGAGGAGAGGCCTTAGAGATCTTCTAGCTCAGTGATTTTCAACCTTTTCCCATCTCATCACACCTGAAGGCAACACGTGCCCTTCAGCTGCCGTGGCTCTGAACCAACAGTAACTCAACTGGCTCAGTGTGAAGATGGTGGCATCCCCGACCATCTCTTCACATTTATCGATATTTAAGCAGCACTGAGGAGTGATTGAATGGCAGCAACTGTACTCACATTAAGAAATTGTATGAATGACATATAACTTGACTTAGCCTCTGGCTAAAGAATATAAAATTCAGTTGGCTTTTCATGTGGGTCAGTTGCCTGTGACCTGCCCCATAAATACTGCTGAGCTGATGAAATGTGAATATATCGTTCTAAAGAGGATTAGGATTTCACGGAGAGAAATGATAGCCTGAAGTGAGTAACAATAGCAAGGATTTAAGGAGGGCAGGGCTAGGAGTTGAGCGGGGATTGGCAGAGAACCCTGGGGATCGCAGGCAGCCAGCCATAACCCTGGCTCCAGGTATAAGAGATGCTTGAGCAACAGACCTCCGTCTGCTGAGCCCTAGCTGGCCCAAAGCCCTACTGTAAATAACCTCCATGTTCATGTTCCTCTGACCCAGCAGGACCCTCCTGGATGTGGCCTAAACTCTTGTGCTGCCCCTTTACCCTCGGAACCTTGAGATCACAGGGATCACACTGTGCGTTATACCTCGTCTTCAGTCAGATCACATTTAATCCTTTGTTCCTTAGATTCCTCCCTACCCCCAGTTGATCGTTTTACTTCTTAGCTTTAGGGGAAGTAAGTACATTCTGCCAATATGAAAGGGGAAATAAACCTGGATTTTAGGTTTGAATATTCTGAGTACCTCCTACTCTTTAAAAATTAGGTTCTGGGGCTGTCCCTATCACTAATGGGAACTCACACAAACCAGTTTCACCCTTTTCACCTCAGCTTCATCTGGAAACTGAAAGGGTAATCAATGGGGAAGTCATAACTTGGTTTTCTGTCCTGGAAAATGGGGTAGTAACAGTAACTACATCACTGGGCTGTTATAAAGGCTAAATGAGAGTATCTGTAAGTGAATGTTGGCACAACGTACGGTGGTTATAATGTGCCTCACATTTTCCTCTAAGGCAAGCTTCACAGCCACTCTAAGGTGCCATCCTCACCTTGGAGCTACTTGGGGGTCCTTTCCAGCTGGTTTTTATTTTTTTTTATTTTAAATATATCTTTATTGATTTCAGAGAGAGGAAGGGAGAGGGAGAGAGAGAGATAGAAACATCAATGGTGAGAGAACCATTGATCGGCTGCAGCCCACAACTCGGGCATGTGCCCCGACCGGGAATCGAACCCTGATCGCCTGGATCCTAGGTCGACCCTCAGCCGCTGAGCCATGCCCGGCCGGGCTCCAGCTGGTTTTTAAACAGTGCAGCACACAGCATCTGGATTTGCACTCCATCTAGTAATAACCATTACTAATTGAATGTCTATTATTTACTTGGTACTGTGAGGTGTTTTGTAAGTTACCTAATACTCCTACCTTAATTAATAGCCATTCTTTCCTACATTTTACTAACTAGTAAATTGAGGCTCTGACAGGGTTAAGTATCTTGCCCAAGTTTATTGCATTTAGTGGGTCTGAACTCTTATCTGACTCAGACCTATCTGACTCCAAAGTCCCATGTTTTCTCTACTCTGCTACTCATTACTGTTGCAGTAAAACTAACTTAATAATGTAGGAAAGAGGAACAGTAGCTGACAAATAGGAATGTTAAGAAATTAGACTACTTGTTTAAAGCAATTGCTTTATGTATTTTGTGTGGCATGTACAAGGTGGCCAAAGGAACATATAATTCTCTTTGAAATAATTGAAACTAGGTACTGAACAAGTTTAAACCAGAGTCCTATCAATAGTTTTAAACAGACCATTATATTAGTTTAATGTGAAAAGAAAATATACTTCAGATCAGAGAAAGCAACAATGAACTCAGGGCTTCCTCTCAATAAATAAATAATCTCACTTCCTACCTGCCTTCTGGTTCACTCTACCATCAGGTCCCATTTTCTCTCACTGCCTCCCATCCCCACCATGGAGAGAAAGTGAGACTTGGCATTAATTCTAAGTTTCAGAATATTCATTTTACTTGGGCGACCTAATTTAAAAAAAAAAAAAAGCTTTCTCAGCCTATCAGGATAAAGAAATTTGTTTATATAAAGAAAGTAGGCTTCAAATATGCCAAATACTTTTGTCACAGAAGTATCACTAGTTTTTGTCATGTGTGTAGTTTATTTGCATATTTATCTTAAAACAAGATTTTAATATATAATTTGAAGTGCTAAACTGAGTAATCTGGTTTATGGGTTAATTTAATGTGAATACAGCTGGAAGCAGATGCCCATGTTTGGCTCACAGGGAGTCACTGGAGCTGAGTATGCATAAATCATTCTATTACTATAGTGATTGATAATATCTTTAAAAAACCCCAAAAACCTATATTTAAAGAACTATTTCTTTTAAAGTAAAAATGAGTCACAAATTGCTGCTTTGCTAGATATAATTACCATTATATTGCTCTTGCTTTATTGACTAGTTTTTAATCCTGAGGCTCTACCTGAGATAAGCATGCTTTAGGCATTTGTGAACCAGTGAATGACATGGTCAACAAGTGAGCAGCTAAGAGAATGAGGCCATGGGCCCCAAGGCTGTAATTCTTTCCATGTTAATGACAGTAATGTAAGTCTGATACATAAGCAGTATGCATTCAAAACACGATACCTGATAGTAGGTCAGGAAGAGAGAATAGGAATTCCAGTTTAAGGGGGGGAAAAACTGAGAAGTCATAACTATGCCAAAGATGTGAAGAAAACTACAAAGGCGAGGCCCTGATTCTGCTGTAAAAAGGAAACGAATCACTCCCTTGGGGTTGATACATCAACAGTTTCAGCCCATTGTAGTCCTGCTTCTTTCAGGGCTTTAACTACTATTTAATTTCATGGAAAAGTAGACATCTCCAAACAAAAAGAGTACCATTTACCGAAAGAAAGAGGCCTTCTTATCAGTGAGGAACTTAATAAGGAAAATATTTTCTGTGCCTTGCACAATTTTCAAAAGCCGTTATTTCTATTCAATTTTTGGTAAGTTAACAAAATAAAAGCCTGTTGAATGAGTGAATCACAGGATGGGTGAAACGATACAGGCGGTAATTTCTTAAGAGCTTAAATTCCATTACAGTGATCCTTTTAGGCAGCCCTGCAGGGTCTTGGCTACAAAGGTTCAGTGCATGCCACAAGTACGCCTGGTCTACTGCAAAGTGTATTCAAGAATGGAGTGCTTAAACGAGGTAAAATTTGGAGGTCATCACCCCCAAACAAACGACCATAGCTTGCACTAAAGTGAAGGTCAAAAACTTTAACTGCTCAGTGTTAAATTAATCAAATTAACCAAAGGTTCCTCCTAGGAACCTCAAAAGAAAAAAATGTATGTGAGCAGTATTTCAAACATTCAGTTTCAGATGAATGATATGATAAACATAAACATAAATCGACTCTTGGTGCACAGTTGTCAAAATGGTTTACTCACATTTGTTAAAATCAGAACTGGAAGGGTGACCTGTATAAAAGAATAGATAAGGTGGTTCTTCCCCTATAGTTCATTGTATCCCTAATGTTCCACCCCCTGCTGCCCACTGACCAGGACACGTGGACTCAACAGAGCAGTTACATGTAAGGACTCAGAACCGTCTCAGCTGGAAGCAGTCTCCACTTCAGCCCACGTGGCTGGCCCGCCCTCCTTTCAAAAGCCCGCGCAGCTAGTCTCTCTGAGACTTTATGACTTGCTTTCTTCTTTTTCCTCTGGTATCTTTTCCCAGATTGGCTCCTTGACGTGTTCTGGTAACCGTTCTAATTTTGTCTAAAAAGAGAAAAATGAAACTATAATAAAATGGAGACCTAATTCTTTGGCCACAAAATAGATTAATTTTGCTCCCTTAAATCCTCTTGACTCTTTTCTTTTACCCCTCTTATCTTTTTGTAGGCTTGGAAACAGAAAGAAAGCTTGATGGTGTATAAAACTCTGGCATATATAATCTATTTGATCCTCAGTGATCTCTAGGGACTGCCACCTAATGTGGTTCCCGTGTATAAATAACTCCTGAGAGGCAGGGAGACTTCAGAGGCAGCTCAGGGAGGACGTGGCTGCAGTGCAGGCCTCGGCTGAGCTGCCACCGCTGCACGGGGAAGTGGAGATCCCAACCACTGTGGCAACCCTGCCTCCAGGGCCATCATAGGCGCTCCCCTCCACTCCGTGGGCCAGGACCAGGCTGCAATGTATTAGAACAACAATACAGATGGTTGGGGAAGGTCATCAAAAAGACATGACTGCCAGTTTGACCTGTGAGCTGAACCTGAGCAATAGAAGGTTCCTTGTCTCCTCCCGTGATTTGGAATGTGTTCTGCTTGCCCAGAACCTGTTCCAAGGATATAGGCTTAAGAGAGAAATATGGTATTGAGACTATCTGGACTGGGTACATGAGTGACCCCAGTTAAGGTCTTCTGGGTACATGAATGACCCCAGTTGGGGCCTCTATATAAACTTTTAAGATTTGGCAGGTGGGTACGGAAAGCTAATTGTCTTGCAGCTGCCCAAGACAAAGCAGGTAAGTAAGTTCCCTTGCTTATTAAACCTGCCACCTACCATTTGGAGTGGTCTGCCTCTCCCTTTCCTTGCCCATCACATCCAGGGGTGGCTTCACATTACACCTGGGAAGCTCCCAAGGCGGCTGTGACCCAACACAGATCTACCCTCCAACAGAGGTAGAAATTAACATCATACCTTTGTAACTTCCATGGCAACTCCTTCAGGTAAGTTTCGCTGAATGTATTCCAAGTAGACGTCTGCTGTACTTCCAGTTAGATGTTTTAACTGAAATTTCAAACATGAAATTGGTTCATGTTATGCTGTTAGAGCAGAAACTTTTAAGTTTTATTGGTAAAAGTGGAACAGTCTTTTCTTCTTCTATGAAATCTTACACAGAATCCCAACTGAAAAACAATAACTGTAGATTCTCTGTTTGAACTGAATGGGAGGAGCATGGCCCTGGGGCACCTTCCTCCCAGACGTTGTAAAGCCAGGGCTCCATGGACCCCAGCTGGCAAGCATGCTATCAAACCAGTAAACTTACAAGAGTTTGACAAAACAAGACAAACGGAAACAGACTAGATTACAAGACAGAATTAGTATGAGATTTTCTGCATGCTCCATGCCGAGGTGTTTCTGTTGGACACAGGTGCATAAAATTTTGGGTTTTTATTTTCTATTTAAGGGTGGGACTACGTTTTAATTATATTTGTACCCTCAATGCCTAGTACAGTGCTTCCAATGTAAAAGATGCACAAGCACTTGTTTTAATAGCATTTATCAACCATTAATTATGTGATGGAAGTATACTCAGTGCTTTAGATAAATATCGCATTTAATCCTCACACTAACCTAGGAGATGGGTACCATTATTATTCCCATTCTACAGATAAAGGAATTGAGGTACAGGACATATGGCTGTCTGACTCCAGAACCCATGCAATCCTTAAAAACAAGACCATGCTGACCCTAGTGAATGCACTAATGAAGAAGATGAAAATTTTATTTATTTATTTTTTAAAATATGTCTTTATTGATTTCAGAGAGAGAGAGGGAGAGAGAGATGGAAACATCAATGATGAGACAGAGTCATTGATCGGCTGCCTCCTGCACACCCGCTACTGGGGATCGAGCCCGCAACCCGGGCATGTGCCCTGATTGGGAATCGAACTGCTGTCTCCTGGATCCTGCCTGGGTCAATGCTCAACTGCTGAGCCCCGCCTGGCCTGACCAAATGAAAATCTTAATGCTGCCCTTGATAGACATGGAAATCCAGTAAGCAAGTGAAAAGAATTATTAGAACTGTGTGAAAATTTAACTAGAATTTTTGAAAAGCAAAAAAATTATTCTAATGCTATCTTAGTGTATAAAAATAGTCAGCATAATTTGCATTATTGAGTTTAAGTATGAACTATTCTAAAGGATGGCTTTGAGTTTGATTTTCCTATCTGTTGCTCCCATAAACACAAAAGGACATTTACACCTCCTCTGCAACTATTAGGCATGAGCTGACAGAAAGGAAGTCAGCCCAGTCAACCTTAAAGGACAGGTTTGCTAGTATGAAATTTGGGCATTTTAAAAATGCCTGAATGTGTAGAATAAACTCACCTCTAAACATCTGTACAGTGTTCTCATTTCATACTGAACTCTGTGCTTCTTGAAAATATGCACTGATTTGAGAAGAGTAAATCGCTCTATTTTCCTTGGAGGTTCATGCCTGAAAATTAATGGGCAAAACAACATACTTAAGCTAAGTGAGGTTAAAACCTTAGTCACTGATACCAAAGCATGATTCCCCAATTGTGTAGGTCAGGCTCATACTCAATTACAGGCATTAACTACCATTTACAGACTTCCACTTGTCAGGACTGTCATCTATGCTTAACAACTGCTGCCATAAAGCTCAGGCCAAAATAAACACCTCAGACAGCAACACAAACATTTTTCCACAGACTCAAAATTGAGCCTCAGCATGCACGCGAGTGCACGCACACACAAGCCTCCAGCTTCTACAGCCTTGAAGTCCCTTACTGACCAAACACATGAACTGGAAAGGGTAACACCAGTGTGTTAAACACAGTTGTAATGTCTCTGTATATGTGTTATTTTAGGAAAACCTACAGATACATCGATAATCACAAAATTATAGTCAGTTATGGAAAACGTGGGTTCCTTGTGTTTTATAAAAAGGTGGACTAACAAAGCCTCAAATGGGCCTTGTTCTACATCAGGAGCAGGTGACAAGACAAAGGAGGTAATTATACTTGACCCTGCAGTGACTTCAGGGCCATATAAAGCTCACCTTGCTCAGGCATGAAGTTACTGGGTGAGTGGTGTTTCTCAGGGCAGTTTTGAAATGATGAATGTATAAACTGAAGACTATCAAATCAAAGGATCTAAAAGGAGTGCTTGTCTACCTAACTGCCTCCCTGCCCCATGGAGATCCCAGACTTGAGTGCTTCTTGGGTCTCCTTAAGTCTATAAAATTGGTAGAGAAAGGATTTCCTTCATTTTCCTGGTTCACTCATTCTAGTATTTAAACGTTCTGGAACACAGGAAGGGATGATCCTGCTTGGGATAATAGGGCAAAGCTACATCCTACCTATCATGAGTTCTCTCCATTTAAGAGCTCAGACCTAGCTGGAATCAGCACCATTTTCATGGTTGATCAGCAGCTGACAGGTCAGATTAGGAAAGACCATACTTACACTTTAATAGGGATACCAAGTTCTTTAGCAGCAAGCACAGCAAAATATTCGTAACTGTCCAACACAGCCTTATCATGGCCTTTTACCAAAACTGACAGGCGCTTATATAATGTGTCTGGTTCGTCAGAAATGGTTATCTACAATTTTAAAATCAAAAAGAAAAGTTTCACTCGTGGTTCCTGTAATAGTCACAACTAAAATTTTAACATATTACCCACAATTGAGCAACTTCAGAGTTTAGCAATAAATGGGGAGAAAAATGCTAAGTAACATTTTAACACTGTTAGCTTAAATATCTAGATACCATCACATTCAAATATACACAACGATCCTTATAATCTGTTAAAATGCAGTTAGAATCAGACGGACTTTCAAGACAATGTACAAAATCACTAATGCAACAGTCTAACTTAACAGTATTGAGCCCCAAATTCACAATGGGAAAGGATTTGGGGGTCTGTTAACAAAAGTAGCCCGGTCAGAAGACCTAGGTTGAGAATTAAACTCTGCTACTTCGAGCTGAATGACAGTGAGCAAGTCATATAATCTCACTGCACTTTAGTTTTCTCACATATAAAATACAATACTGATGCTACAGCTCACAGCATTTCTTTAGAAAATAAAAAACACAGATTGAAGTGTCTATAAATGATAAAACATTGTTATAATAAAGGTGAGCAATTACTATTCATATTCTTTTTTTCAACCTCACCTGAGGATATGTTTATTGATTTTAGAGGGAGAGGAAGGGCAAGACAGAGCGACACACACACAGACTCACACACACACACATAGAGACAGAGAGAAACATTGATGTGAGAAACATCGATCAGTTGCTTCCTGCAAACCCCCTACTGGGGATCAAGCCTGCTACCTGGGCATGTGCCCTGACCAGGAATCAAGCCAGTGACCTCTCTGTGCATGGGGCGATGCTTGACCAACTGAGCCACACCAGCCAGGGCCATATTCTTTATTAGGCTTTATTCATGCGTGTTTTGCCTGCCATAACAGAAAAATTACTCATTTCTAATTAAAATGTTATGACACTGACTGTACATATAACTTCCACCCTAATACTTAAAATCTTAGAAATAATGGGTTTGACATTTCTGATTTTCTTCCAAGAGATGAATTAACTTCACTTCATTCATCCATTAAACCAGTAATTTATATACTAATCCAAGGATTCAGGGTTAATTACTTTACCCCTGAAAGGAGATCTATTACCTAACCAGGAAGCTACACATTCACTATTCACTCTCAGTTACCCCAAATAGGGTTGCTGGAAGAACAGCATATACTGATATCCTATGGCAAACTTTGGAGGACAAGGGAAGGGGGAATACAGCCCCTATTTAAACCCTATTCTGATTGGGTTTAAAAAACCCTACAGGGTTTTAAAATTTTTTTAAATTAATTAATTAACTTATTTTAGAGATGGGGGGGAGGGAGAAAGAGAAAGAGAGAGGAAAAACATCATTTTGCTGTCCCACTTATTTATGCATTCACTGGGTAATTCTTGTATGCGCCCTGACAGGGGATCTAACTGCAACCTTGGTGTACTGAGATGACGCTCTAACCAACTAAGCTACCTGGCAAGGGCCTCCTACAGGGTTTTAAAGATATTTTGTATCTATTAAAAATACAAAAAACCAGGAGATTTCACATTAAAATTTAGATTTCAGTGTAGCTTGGAAAATTTAGTAAATCTGGCATCACTAGGTTTGATTTCCCACATGGCAATAAGTGGCTAGAGTAAGTAGCAGCTGCCTCACTTATAAAGGGCATAGCTGATCATTGTGACCACCCTGTCACCTCTCCTTACAGGCCCGGCCCATGCAGGCATCTGAGTTGGAGACCTGGGGTATGTATGTATATATATAGTCATGGAAATACACCTAGTATCTATTAAGTGAAAAAATGAAACAGCAGTACATTATGTATACACCATTCCATTTTGGTGTGCATGTGCATAGATATAATGATTATGTGCAGATAGATGTCTAAAAAGATTCATACTAAACTGTTAAAGAGGGTTATTTTTGAGGAGTGGAACTAGAAAAAATGGAAATCTGTAAGGATTTCAAAATATTACAAATAACACAAAAACTGGGTTGAAGGAATCATGTCTCTTACTTAAATGAAACAAAGTTATATGGCTACTTCTGGATTTTACTTGTGCTACTGCTCTTTCTCACTGTCCAGGCCCAGGCTCAATGCCTTAAAATGAGAACAAAGATTTGACGGCCACAAGAAACAAATTTTCCTAGAACACATCAAGTATTCTGCATCATTAATTATGACAACTCTTCACTTATTCCGAGTTACAAGCAAAAGACTGCTCACTCCCAGTTATGTGGGGTGAATAATTTAGTTCTTTACAACTTACCCAGAAACCCTGAAAGAGAACATGAGCAACAAGGACATCAGAGAATACTGTACTCAGGCACACTATTCCAGATGAAAATTTTTTTAGTCATAAAGTGTTTGGGAAACCACGCTAAATAAAATAATAAGGAAAATTTATTACTAATGTAGTTCCTTAGGCCAAGAAATAAGGAGTACATACTGTAGGCTTGGTCAAATCCTTGGGAACATCAACATGTAGGTTTGAAATCTGTACCCACTTCATGTTGGTACTGCTGTGTGGACAGAAAAAAGAGGAACCTAAGTAAAATAGCACAAGAGCCCATTTTCTTGTTCAGTTTAGCATGTCTAATTACATACTTACAGAAGAAAGCCATCATTTTTGGATGTACTGCTCTTAGAGCTGTTTACAGAAAAATCCCTCGAACCCTTAAAGAAAAAAGGAACACATTAGAATTAAAGTCAATCCCCAAACCATTCATAGTTTCCATTATAAAACAAAAAGATGTATGATATTTCAAGTAAAGGACTATCTCATTATTTTAGATGATATTGGGGTAACTAAAATGCCAAATTAGATTTTATTAAAAAAATACAATGGTAGAATTGATAATAAAAAAGGACATTCAAAACACTAGGGAATCTATGTATTTTAAACTTTAGAAGAACTTTTTAAAATAAGTAATTTTCACATTAAAATAAGTTATAAATTAAATTTATGGACATCAAAGAAAAATATGTGGCTTAATTTTCCCATAATTTTTACAGATTAAATATAATTCAATATAATACTTATTTGCCTCAATATTTTCAAGGAATAAAAAGTCTTTATAATTTAATTAAGAGTTGAAATAAGAATTCTGAAGTACCTTCTTTTGAAGCTTTCATACATCTTTTCCAGTGTATGTATTTCTTGGCTTAGCCAGGATAACTAGCTTATAAGTAAACTGACATACACACTGAAACTTACACCCATTCTCTGCTTTTATATCACTACTGTGCCTCATAATGCAACAATCCAGCCTTTCCAAATCCTTTAATGTCAGCTCCCCCTAGTGGATCAAAACTTCTAGTCATAGGAAGCATGGTACTATGTATATCTAATTTGTCATCTGTTTTTCCTTTAAGCTTTCCTGAGATTTAAATGTGTAGCCTGAGAAAGTGGAAGCATGATAGGATCCTTAAAAATACTTTGAAGATGATAATAACTTTAGCACAAGTGAAGCTTAATTAAAACAACAGAGGGTCACCCAAGTATGTTAAAAAGCCTATTCTTAGTTTACTGTCCTTCTTCCCCTCTTTTCCCAAGATGGAGGCAAATGAAAACTTTCATATTTTCCTTTGGATTGGGGGAAAAACAAAAAGAGGAGGAAATCAGGTCCAATACCAGGGAGGAAGAGGTTAAGTGCCACTCTTTACCCATGATCAAAGAGAAAACTTCCCACATTTCTGTCAGTGATCCTAACAATTCAGTTGTGTGGAAAGACAACAGATCTAAGGAATATGACACTTGGCAATTATATTCACCAATTATAAACCTCTGCTTTTAAAAGTTGTAGGCTAAGTGCTGTTGCAGCCACAAATCAACCTTAAGAATTTCTTAGTTTTCTTTTTGAGGGGGTTGAAGGTTATCTGCAGACGTGCCTTAGTTCAAAACTTCAACCTCTAAACACCATCTGACTTTTCTTAAGAAGAGTGAGTCTCAAAGTGTGCTCTGAGGACGTCTGGGGAGCCCCTGAAACACTTTCAGGGGGCCTGGAAGATTGAAATTACTTTCATAATAATACTAAGGTTTTATCTGCAACTTTTCCACTCTCATTCTCTTACAAGTATACAGTGAAGTTTTCCAGAGGCTGTGTGATGTGTGGTATTGTTAGTGACAAGGGGACCTGGCCCTGAGTGGGTCTGCCAAGGGCTGGCAGGTAGTGTGTAGGTTCTTGACTGCAGGAAAGATTTCACAACGTGAGTCCAGGTGATGTTTAGAGGACATTTATTAAAACTGACGACAGTGAACCAAAAGGGTTAGGATAGAAGCAGCAACAGGAGAGAGATTATGCGGGGGAAAACGGGGCGAGGTAGAGCTGCTTTGGCTCACTAAGAAGTCAGAGAGAGAAGGGGGCCTTGTGGACAGGTTCATGGGGTTAGCCCGGGAGGAGCTGCTGCTGCCCACTGTTACCTGGCTGCAAGTCTTTTGGGTCCCTTCGAGTTTAGATGTGTACT